GTGTGTGTGTGTGTGTGTGTGTGTGTGTGTGTGTGTGTGTGCTGAGAAAACTGGAGCCAAGCAAGCAGAAAGCATAATATAACGGGCATTACAAAGAAATGGCGTACAAAGAAGGATTGAAGCACTCCAAACAGCCACAGCGAAGGGGCTGCATGCATAAAAACACGAGCATCTTTAGAAGACGATGTAATCAAGGCTGGTTAATTTGGAGCAACAACTCATTAAGAAGGTGTTCTATTAACGCCCCCCTGTGAAAAAAAAAACAAAAAACAAAAAACAAAAAAAAAAACCTTCTTTTTGATTCACTTTTTCTTCTCACAATTGCAGAATCCTCCCCTCTAATCCAATCTCTGAGCCCCTCATCCCTGTTTCTAAACCTAGAAGTGGGCACTTCTCTAAAAAACAAAGACCTGATTCAAGTCACACAAAAGCCCCAGGTTCACTCCACCCTCCACTTACCCAAAGTACACTGTGAAGTGTGCAGCCTCCACCCTGCAGAGGAGGAGTGGGATTGAGAGAAAGCCACAGTTCTCATCAGAACAGATGGAGCTCCCATCATGCCCCACTGCCCCAAATACTCAATATCATTTCACTCACATTTCACAACACATCTAAACATTATATAATACTTATTGTATGGGTCTGCAGTGCCACAATGATGAATACTAACAATGAAATACACACACCTATAACTTCTACCTACCGATCTAGAGTAAGCAGTAAGGTCTCGTTAACTTCAGGGATATCGTCAGCCAGGACAGTAAGATTGATGAAGGCATCACTCTGCTTGGAGAGGAAGACAATGGAGCCATTAAATGGCCTCAGGTCATTAGCTGTGACATCCCCTCGATTGGCTCCAGTTGGATGAAGGCTCCAGAACACCACAGCCTGACCATCTGTCCCATCCCGCCTCAGAGGGAGGCTAACCTGCACCAAACATCAATAAAATTAGCCTACATGCAGACATAATGCTAAATATACAAACCCTGATTGATATTTTTGAAAGTTTCCAAACACAAATTAGAGAGTGCAAACTACTTTAGGTAATGGCTAAAGACAAGGGCTGCAAAACCATTTGTACAAGCATAACTTACCATGGTTGCATTGCTGTCCTCTGGTTCAAAAAGCACCACTGTGGCATTACTTATAAAGCCTATTTCACCGTTAGCAATGTCAGGGGTGACAGTCAAAGTCAGGTTTAGTGGTCCACCAAATCTTGGACTGTTTGAAGGAATGGCGGGACTGATATCAATCAGTTCCAGAGTTTTCAGCTAGAAAAAAGATGAAACAGAAAGCTATCAGAAGCTAATACATAAGCATATGTTCCTGTAATAACTGGTTACGTTTTATAGTGTAACCTGCTCACTTCTTTGATTTGTGTGTAAATATATGGCAAAATACTGAAGTTTTGAATGTTTGACTATTGTGTTTTTATAGACTGTCGAGAAGGCTTTTCGTGTACCTTTTACTTGCTTTAAGTGCTAGCTGTTGTTTGTTTGAACAGTTGGGCAAATCCCATAGAACCATGCCAGACCTGGGTGCCAATGTCAAACCATTCACACATGCAAATGAGGCACTTAGACTTTGGATGGCACTAATTTAGCCAGAAGTGCCAACACAGACAGAATAACGTATTTCTTTAAAAGCGCTAACAAAATGTTGCTGCTGAATTGTAACTGTTTCCAGACTTTAATTACCTGTATTAAGAAGTGAGCTCCATTCTGCAGAAAGGCATCATTTCTGATGGGCAGTATGACATGGATCATCTGCTCACGGTAAAACGCCACATTGATAGACCTGCTGACGTTCAGAACCTGATCACGGGCCAGTTCTGGCTCTATTGGACCGGCTGGAATGTAGAGGGCGGTAAAGGTCATAGACACATTGCCCAGCATGCCACCTTCCCTCACAAAATTTAGAGACAGGAATCGACCCTCGGGTTGACTCTGGATGCTCTGCTCCTTGTTCGGGTCGAACCGAAAAAGTCCATAGACATCGTCACTGTCTTGGATGTAGAACACCATCTTTGGAGGAAAAAATGGATCACAATAAGACAAAAACAGAAATAGTGGCAAAAGTAAATTTCAGAAAACAAGTAGAGACAATGGGCCCTTGGGTTTATGTATATAGCTTTAAACTAACGTACTTTCATTTTATAAGAATCTAATAACAATGAAATTGCAGATTTATCACGCATTATCTTAGACCTTGTCACTTATCACAAGTTCCTTTTGTATTTGCTTCAGCACAACACAATCTGCCTTCCAAAACTGAATCACAAAGTCGTTCTAAAAGATTTGCCAGGAGAACAGAATTATTTGAATATGATAGGGTATGACAGCACTCTAATGAACATCATGATAAACACATTCACGCTGTTTTCCAACGTCTTAAAGACATGGGCCCACAATTTAACTTCAGCAAATGCTTATTTGGTCAGTCAAGTATTTCATTCCTGGGACGTATTGTGTTGAAGGAGGGCCTGCACCTCAGACATAATCACCTCTCCTGCACCAAAAAGATATGGCAGCACTTGATTATTTTCTGGGCTTAAAGGCACAGTGTGTAGGATTTGTTGTTTTCAGCGACATCTAGTGGTTGAGTGATTGACTCATCCTCCCTGGTCCTCCCCCCACCCCCACCCCCTGCTCCCAAACGCAAAGGAATTGCTACGGTGTCTCTCAGGTGTCAAAAACCTTTGATAATTCCAACCGCGATATCTACCAGCAGCTTCAGGGCTAGTGATGTTTCAAGTGGTAAGATTATGAGCTTTAATAAGTAAAATTATACCAGCTATGTTTACATGCACAAATTTTTTTAATCGGATTGAAATGTATTCAGCTTAAATATTCCGAATGTACTGTTTACATGGACACAATCCGATCATGAAAAGTGTTTACATGCACCGGAGTTTTATTCAGAATAAAAGTCTGGACATGTGCAGTGTTGTAAACGTTCAGCTCTACTTCCGTGTTACAAATGTAAACAAAACTCCTCTGTGCACTCAGGACGGACCCGTGTCAGCTTTTAATAATGGTAGAGACGCCGTTACTCCTCGGTTGAGCTGCAGCCTGCAGATGAAGCAAAACGTGCTTTTTATTTTTATTTATTGCGCAGCAACGTCTACTGTTTGCCTCCTTTTTCATCTGTTATGAGAGCGTGGAGGAAAACTTCTGCACGGTGCAGCACAGCTGGAGCGCTGCTGTCCCACCTCCTCTAACCGGGTGAATGAAAGTCAGCAGACATGCACACAGGTCAGTTTTCTACAATCAGAATAAGATGATCGGATTAAGTGTTTACATGAACCTCATTCCGATTATCAATTGGCACAACCCACACTTTTCATTCGGATTAAAAATTCATTCGGATCGAGCTCAATCAGATCAGAATAATCGGAACAGGCTGTTTACATGACGCATTTTTATTCGGAACAGCTGTTTAATCCGATTACTTTTGTCCATGTACAGACAACAGTTTTACAACTAAAACTGTTTTTGACGCCGCCACCGCAGTTTGTCCTTCATGAGCCTTCGTAGACAAGATGGCGGTGCAAGATGGCGGCTGCCTGTAGTGGCGACCAGCGACCATGGAGATATAAACAGCTTTTTATAAGGTAAAAATAATAAAACAATGTCTTTGTCTGCAATGATTAGACGTTTTTTATTATTGTCATTAGTGATTATCTCAATTTCGGCTAAAAGAATTGACAAAATCCTACACACTGTTCCTTTAACCTTCTGGTACAGTAAATTTCTACCATGCAACAATTGTGGAGCCACTGCAAGTGCTACTTTAAAGAACTATTCAATCTCAACTAAAATGGTGATGATCTTAAAATAACGCTCCTGAAAAGAACAGTACTTTTCATCTACAATCCTGAACTGTCCACATTCATCACAACAGATGCTTCAAACTATGAACTGGGAGCCGGTTGGACACAGTTGCACTCACACATTTCTGCTTTTGCATGTCGGCGAAACAACATTGTGTTAGAAAGGGCATCTAGGAATGGCATCTTAATGGCACGCTTGCTGTAAAGTGTGTGAATGTAATCGTAGTCTTGTTTTTAAAGACTGTGTAATAAAAACGGTGTTTCCTGTTTCCGTATGGTGAAAACTGACTTTTATTTAAAGAAAGAAAAATGAGAGGCAATGAAGCGACCAAGGAAAGTAAAGTTTTGGCTAAAAACAGTAAAAACAGAGCTGTGAGCTATCTTTAGAATGGCTACCTCTCTAATTAACTCTGCTGCAACTACATGAGTAGTTTCCATAAGTGTTAAACTGTGGCACGTTCAGTTCCCTGGAACCTACATTTGTCTGGTGTGTGACTACAGTCAGTCACAACAACTTCACAAAGCTCACTTTTTAATTTGTTACTATCTTATGCATCCTCTTCAATTAGCAGTAAAGCCATTCACTCATTTATTGAAACGATTTCTGAAAAAACAAATTGCTTGGCTCAGATGGCAAACACACCCTTACATCCCAAAGTTTTGATGTGTGATTTCGTGTGACATATTTTGCTTTGAAAGCAAACGAGACTCAGATCTGCCCACTCTTTCACACATAACCAAGAGGCTTGGTCAAAGATGGAAGCAATAAAAGCCTGTCACCACTTCACCAGGCTCTAAAAAAAAAAAAAAAAGAAGAAAACACAGAGTCCTCACACAGCAAGTGTGCCTGCTGCTTCCTCTTTGTTTTGCTTTGGCCACATTAAAGGAACACCCACAGAGTGAAGTTGCGCGCCATGGGGTCAGCCTTTGCAGAATGTGCCAAGTTTGCACATGCAGCTTACAGTAGGTCAGACACAAACGCACACATGTGTAACACATGCAACTCCAGGGTGTGTTCCCTAACAAGTGCAACCTTTTTTTTAATTTATTTTTCTTTTTTTACACAAACCCAAAAATGAAAATACAAATTCTCGAAACTGACCTGCATAGGTTCGTCGACCTCCACATTTCCAGTTACGGTGTTGGGCAGCAGTTTAAAAACAAAAGCTTCAGCTTCTTCAGGCTGATTATCGGCCACAATGTTTAGTGAAATCACAGCAGTCACCTGACTAGCATTGAATTTCACTGTTCCAGCCTGAGGTGTTAAGTCATCTGACACCGGAGCGGGATCACTGGAGTTCCTGCTGATGGACCAGTTGGCAGACACGGCACCATAGCTTCCTCCGTTTCTTACAATGATGATGCCATCAAACCTGGAGGAGTAATAATCAAAGATGTAAATAACTTTCCTTTTCTTTTTGAAACATATGCATCAAATCTACCTATAAATATATAAATAAAGTTGATTAATTGATTTGATGTAAGCCTACTAAAATAAACAATAACAAATAATGTGAAAGAGTTTGTTTGTTGCCCACCTCTTTGTCACATCTTCGTTGATGGCGATTGGCTGAATTAGAGCACTGCTGATTGACAGGACTCCATAAGGCTTATCATTGGGCTCAATGGTGACCAGCACAGCATTGGGTGATACCAGCACAGCATCTCCTCTGATAGTCTCCTCCAAAAGGATTACATGAAAGGACTCTGCAATTTCTGGCACCACATCATCAGTGATGTTGAAGAAAAGTCTGGCTTTGTAGACAAACGGAGGGAATGTGATGGTTCTGATGGGCTGCAGGTCCACAAAATCCACAGCTGGAGTGGCGCTGCCCAGTCCTTCACCACTCACTACAGTGTAATCTACAGACACCTAAAGAGAAACAAAAGTTCAGAAGACTCAGTCATGTTTCTGCATCAGACATGTTGCTCAGGTCAGTTTAAACGTATGAACAGACTGGGAAAGAAAACCTGAGTGCCAAGAGAACCAATGAGTGGCCCATCCTCAGCCAACTGGCCACGGGTCACGTTGAGAGCAATGACGCCCGCAGACTCTGACACGGCCATGACTGCGAGGGAGAACCGCAGAGGGCTGTCATTTTGACGGATTCTCAGCTGGACACTGCTGCGATTGGGGCTGAGAAGGGCTCCACCAGCCACGCCTGTGAGCCTTACTGAAAACACCTCGTCATTCTCCGGGATCTGGTTCATGGACAAACAAAAACAAATTAATAAGGTCAAACGTCGGGAGTGGGGAGGGTGCAGGGTTGATATTATGTATCTTCCAGGCACATTCTTTAATTCTATACCACAATTAAGTAACTATGTTACCTTCAATTGTACTGTAAACATCAAAAATAAATTTGACTTTGTCTGTCTAAACTCCTTGAAATTAGCCTCTGTCTCTTTAAGAACCTCCAACCGTTTCGGACACTCCCACTTCAGCTTGTTTTCGAGCTCCAGGGAGGAGCGATGGGTAAACAGGCGGTGCTTTGTTCCAGCAAACATTTAGGAATCCCACATGGTTACCACAGGAGATTCAAGGATTTCTCAAACATGCATGAATGAGTCAAAGCAACACTCTGAGTATGTTTTTGATGAGGTCATGACATTATAACATGTTATAAAACTTGCATAATACCACCCCTTTTAAAGAAACAGGAAGATTCATGACATGCCATATGTATCTGTCAAGTTAAGTTTTATAAAACTGAAGAAGATGGTACTCATTCCCCAATTTATGAAATCAATACAGTATATACATTATAATCAGTGAAGCTTAAGCAGTTTGGAGGTCAGGTCAGCTGAATTTAGACCTCTGATGTAATAAGTTCAAGTCAAGGAATGCTATCAGAAAGTACATCTTTTTAACTGTGTCCAGTCAAATGATGATCTAAGACACTAATGTACAGATATAACACAAAAATAGGCATTTCATTTATTACCTGGTCATCTTTAATGAGAATACTGAAGTTCACTGCAGCCTGTCCCACAGGGATAGTGATGTTCCCTCTGTCTGGACTGAGATCATCAATAGCAGGATAGGGACCATCAGAAATCTGGCAGAATGAGATCAAAATGAGTAAACTTGGACTGAATTGGACTCTTATTTAATACAATAATTGTGATGAAAAAACTAAAAATTTCTCCTCACCTCAAAGTTCACAGTCACGGTTCCGTAGGTTCCCTTTTCTCTGATTAAGGTGAAAGGCACATAATAGTTCTTTCCTCTCAGCTCATCAACAACTACCTCCTCAGTCTGAAATAGGGACAGAAAACACCTCAATTAGTTCAGTTTAAACAATTTCTACATTTTCTTGACACGCAGTAAACAAGTGAACAGAAATGATAAATACTGGGTTTCTTACTGAGTTGAAGGCAATGATTCCAAAGGCATTGTCATTGGACAAGATGGTAATTGTTGCCCTGTTCGGTGTTCCCAGTGTCACACCGTTAGAGGAGCTCTGGGAAGAAAAAAAAATTAAACGGTTTAATAAAACCTAGACAAATAAGCCGCATTTACATTTCTGTGCTCAACCCTGCTACCCCAAGACTTATTGCTGACATTCCTGCTCATGTGAAAGGGTAGTGTGTCGGTTTTATCTACTGTCTACACTTCATTCCAGTAAACCCACTGAATAGGCCTGGTGAGCAGGCACAAATACAGGAAGTGCTTGTTTTTGGCCCACTGCCCTGTCAGGTTAACTCCCTGCGGGGTGCCTCTTCAGAATCTGTGCTTTTCTCTGTCATCTGGCACTAAAACCCAACAAACTTAGAAACGAGGAGTACCTAAAATTACACAGTGATGTCACACGGCCCATAGAGGGAAATTTAAGGAGGGAATTTAATTTGCTGAAAGTTGATCAGGTGTTAACAAGTGAGCATAAAAGTGGCTTGTAGATGAATGTAAAGGCATGAGAAAATTACTATCAAAAATGTATTTGGACTTACTCAGTTCATCATGTATTTTAGTAAAACTGATGACAGCCACAGATCGTTTTAACGTCATTTTAATGATCAATTTTATGCTAGAATCTGTCCCGCCAACTGTTACTTCTATATTTTAATGCTCCTGTTAATATTGATCACAATTAAGTACTTTCTGTAAACCAATATTTCCTGTCATAATAGATGTAACTGTCAGAAATGAAACAAAATAATTAGACTAAGTACGAGCTTTTGCTGCACTATTGTATCAACTTTAAAACAACTGTGGATGTGTCTTTTGCTGCCTGCTGGTCAAAGCCGCTGTAGTAAATACACATCACTGACAATGAGTGATTTACAATACCCTTTATCTTAGGTCGTTTACCCCCCCCCCCTTCCCCAATCTCATCAATCTAACTTGACAGCTAAACTAAAGGCTGCATGAAACCATGGAGATTGTTCTCCCAGTGTGTGGCATCCTGTGCCGTGATAGTTATTCTTTTAATGAGTTTACAGCATAAACAAACTGAAAATACTTTCAGAACCTCAACTGGTCGGTTTCTTAATGTGATGCATATAATAATGCATTTTTTAAAGGAATTTAGCCATGGAGGACATCTTGAATTGGGTTTACTTTAAAGGTTAATTACAGTAGTTGTACATGATTACTTTCTACAAGTTTCATTACATTCTGTGACACTGGCAATATCATTATCACTTTTTGCCTTTTGGCTGTGGACAAAAATTGCATTAGTCCTATAGCTGGTAAGGCTGTGACTGTCAAAATTTACTATATTTTCATAAAGATGTTTGTTGTTGTTGTTGTTGAAGGAGGTCACAGATACACACAATATCTGGTCCCACCAAGGACTGACTTTTGCAGATCTCAGACATCAAAGACCCCGCAGCTCAGAACCACCCAGGGTTTACGGCTCGATGCCTTCTGCCCACCCAGTTTAGGAGCTGCGGTTCTGCTTTAACAGTCAGCAGTAGATTTAGGACAACAGGGCGCGACTTTGTGGAACGAAGCTCCACTTCAGAGACAGGAAAGCGGAAGTGAAATGGGAAATGTATCCAACAAATCCAAAACTTTATTTTCAAAAGTGAAAAAGACAAATATAAAATATTGAACATTAGGCATATTTACCTGCAGTTTAAGGTTGAAAGTAAATTTCTCATCTTCTTCAGGGATGTCATCGTCCTTCACAGCAATGAAAATGGTTTTACTGGACTCGGTGGACAGCAGGAATGCTGCAGCATTTATGGCCTCAAAATCTCCTGTGTCGACTCCCTCTAGCTGACCAACATAAATTCAAACACGACACAACACAGATAAGAAAAATCAATATTATGTAAAAAAAACTGGATCAGAAATGCAGGCAAACAATAGATTTAAACAGAACAATTTATTTTATTGTCATATATGTATATAATATTTAATAAGGAAGTGCATAAACAGAACCAGTGTTTTTGCATGTTTTGGCACATATTAATTGCTCAAAAGAAAAATTATCTTTTCTCCTTCAGTGGATAAGAAGGTAACAGAAAGGACAATGGTTCTTGTTTGGTGTACATAAAATAAAACCTTTGCATTGAGTCATTTCGTTTAAATATAAAAGAGATGAAAAATTATCTGACAAATGTGACCTACCAGAACCAAAGCTGTCACATTGACTGGGTCTCCCACTCGTTCCACGACAAGTCGCACCACAGCTGTGCTGCTCTCATTGACAACAAAGTCCGTTTGGCCCAGGAAGCGCAGTGTGGCTGACTCAGATGTAGTGCCAGGGATGGACAGAGCCAGAATCAACCCAGCTAGCAGGAGAACTGGGGGCATTCCTGCAAGAAGGGCAAACACAAGGAGAAAATATTTTAATGCAGGAATAGTCAATAAATATAATACACAAGAAGCTTATATGTACTGTAAGTTACTCTAGTCATTGGAACTGTTGTCCAATCTTAATGGTTAATGTGTTTCAGCTCCTTCAAGTTGGAAGGCTGGCATTTAACAAAAAAAAAAAAAAACTAGACTAAGATCTAAGGTGATGATTGGACCACTGCGGGACCTTGAAGTGTTTCTCATTTAACCACTGTTGATTCAGCAGTGTGTTTAAAGCTATTGTCCTGATGGAACGTGAATCTCTGTCCCAGTCTCAATTCTCTGAAAAACTCAAATAGGTTTCCCTTAAGTATCTGTCTTTTGCACCATCCATCAACTTCTGGACTTTAATGCAACAAAATAGAAAAAAATCCAAGGGGGTAAATATTTTTGCAACATACTGCACATAAGAGTATATTATTTTAATTACATGTTGGTTTGTTACTTATAATTTAATACAGTATTGAATATGTTACACTAAAAATACAAAAGCCAAAATCCAAAAACAGAAAAAAACATTCAAACCATAATGACATATACAGATGGTAACAAGGGGTCAGATGTTAAGGAGCGCTACTGTCAAACAGTCTTGCTGGTCAGCATTGCTTGAATTCACATTATTAATGTTTTTTAATTAAAAATTCTTAAATTTTTATTAAAATTAAAACGAATATTCTTCTTTGACACAGTATGGCACAGCACCTCATCTTTATCGGTTTGCCTTCAACTTCTCTCTTGTCATGTTTCCTCATCACTCCAGCTTCCCCTCTCCTGTCAGCTCCTGCTCAGCTCTCTCAGCCAGAATAAGCCTAAAAAGCCTATTGGAGCCACTAAGAACAGTTGTCATGGTTAACACAACAAAACACAGCTTGACAAGCAGGGTGGAGCTCCTCGGCCCTGTCTTTCCCATCCACGCTGCGTTTTTACCCCTTCCCCTTCATGATGTATGTCACGCAGATTTACCAACAGCAGGAACACCGAGGATCTTTCAAGGAGTATTTGTTCTTAATTACAAGGTTGAAAATCAGCATCAGCAGCTCCGGTGAATGAAGTCATGCTTTTGGGTTTTTTTGTAACTTTTAAAAAGAAATGTTTTTAGGAAACTTGGACATTAAAAATCAAACTTTCCATTAGAGGCATATCAATCCTGAGCTTCTCGCAGTTTCGGCAGTCATTCATTAAACTCAACGGCAATCATTCGTTAAAACGCTTTGTCTGCTTCAGCAGTAGAATGACAGTATCAGCCTCAGAAGTAGCTGGTCGGCTAGTTCAGTCAGAATCAGCTCATAGAAATGTTACAGACATTAAAGCAGGAGAGCATGTGCTACACGTGCGAGCGTATGTGGCGTGGACCTGTAGTCGAGGGCGAGTGCGCACATGTGCCACACACATGCCAGCAGCAGCAGCAGTGGAGAAAGTGCTGGAAAATCCATCAAAAAAGGATTTGTGTAGCGATGGGCAATGGGTAGGTGGGATGAGGAGAGCAGAGGTGAGTGTGGCGCTGGACAAAAGGGGCCAGGGCTGAATAAATCCACTAATTTGCCGTGGTCTCTCTCCTGGGGCTGGGAACTTTCTTAATAAAGTATCAAATATTTACGTTCATCATGGCAACCTGAGACCTAACTGGTCACAAGTTGTAAAGGGGAACATATCTGCACAATGTTTCAGCTTTCAGAGCACAGTTTCTGATTCCCCACAGGCAAGTTTCTGGGAATCATTTTGCCTCAAAACCTCAATTCAGTCCAAAGAATTGCCTTCTACTATTTAGTCCATCTTTTTGATGGATGGTAGGAAGTATCCAGCGCTCCAACAAAGCTGTACGCCAAAATATAGAAGGGGGTCCTATTTGCATCTAATGACCGAGATGCTGAACTTCCTTCAAAGGCCTTGATACAAAGCAGATGCCTTGTGTATGGCACTCAGGTCTGATTCATAAACTGTGGTGCAGATTTTTTTTTCCTTTTTTTTGTGTGTGTTTCATGAATTTTGCCAACCCTGACCCCAGGGATCACAGGGGCCCCCGAGGACCTGTCTGTCACAGCTAAAGGCGGCGTGGAGTGTCTGGCCCAGACCTCTGACATCAATAAAACTGCGAGTCAGAGTTCACGGAGAGAGGTGCACATACACACCCTGCTCACATCTTGTGTATGGATGGATTTGTGGGCTGCCAAAGTCTGCGTTTGCATCCAACATGCACATTTTCAAAGCTTGAGGCAGACAGTTGAGTGACAGCTGAGGACTGCAGGAAAAACATCGCTGAATCCAATCAGACACACACATTCACACACATTTTAATGTTGTGACTGAGTAGATTTTCTTTGGGTAACCCATCTTCGTACCACATGGATATTTTCAGGAATCCTCAGTTGATAGATGCTTAAAAATTATGGTTGAAATGAAGCACTTTCATGAGAACAACCCAAAGCAAGCAAAACATTTCTCATATCACGATTTTTGGCTCATTCTTGTCTCTGACTTTTCTTTTCTAAATGTAAGTCAGCTACATTTGTGTGGACCTTTTCCTACCTTAAAAGTGGTTAAAACAAAACTAGAAGCTACAGTTTATCTAATAAAGATTTTACTCTTGCATTCATCAATTTACACACCAGTGTTACGTTAGGGCTGTTTTGGGATTCAATATCTTGCCAAAAAAGACTTTAGGAAGCCAATAACCCAACCATCAACCTTTTGATTATTGGGAAATGCTTTCTACCTTCAGAGCCAAAGATCCATTAGTTTACTTTTTTTCTTTTGGAACACAAATTGCATTCACCAACTATATTTCACCTAGCCTACTATATATATAAAATTGGCTTTGTATATAGGAAACATATTGGTATTCATTTCATCCACAACAGGACAATACTAGTTACAAAACAAAACAAAACCATTCTTAATCTGTCATTATTAATTAATTTAAGGCCTAAGCATTTACATGTTTTTAATAAAACAGTTTTTAAGATCATATTTCTAGCTGAGAAATGTCTTCTTTTTTCAACATTCACTATTTTAGAAATAGCTCTCTTGTATAATTAAAGCCAACACAGCACAAAACAAACCTCAAATACATGAAATTTTTCCATAAAAATGTGATCAGTACACTGATGAGCATAATATTATTAATAACTTTAAAAGGGTCCCTCTTTTTTTTTTTTTACAAAGTGTACAATGTTTTTTCTTGAACATACTTACTGGGCGATATGGCTGAAAACTGTATCATAATATAAGTGTTTCATATCATATATCAATATATATTGATTAGTTATTTGTTTTAACTATTTGAAATAAGGACCAGGAAAAAAAAGGCTGATTAATACTGCCAAGCTGGTGATATGGCCCTTCCTCTTTTATCCATAATTTCCTCTTGAGCTGTTGCACTCATTTTCTGTCTTTCTATCACGATGTATTGTTATCTCCGACAAGGGCAAGGTCATGTTTTCGGTCGCGTCTGTCTGTCTGTCTGTCTGTCTGTCTGTCTGTCTGTCTGTCTGTCTGTCTGTCTGTCTGTCTGTCTGTCTGTCTGTCTGTCTGTCTGTCTGTCTGTC